TTAATGTTAGCAGAGGACAGAGATGAAATTGCAACTGCGAATCATGCTTGTTATGGGGTATGATTATAAAAAGCAATATTCCAGTCTAACCTGTTTTCACCATTCCATCCATCTCATATGGCTTTTTTTGCCATTCTTTCTTGTGTTTCTGCCCTTTTTCCTTATGTCTTCCAGCCTCCACTAGGTACTGTTGTGGTTTACCTAATTTGACAGTTTCCTCTTCTAACTATTGATGACTAAAAATAAATATAAGTAATAGAAAAAATTGAATTTACTGTGCTACTGGGCACATATATCATCAACTTCCTAGCAGGTACAATGTGAATTCTAAAGCTTTCTGACCAAGATTTTGGAGATAACCAGTGTTCCCTATAAGGTGGGTGCTTGTGTGACCATCAGGAGAGATTCAAATGCTGCTCAGCTGATTAGCAGAGTGCCCACAGCTAGGGTTTTGTATCTACTAATGGTGCACATTTGCACATGCCTCAGTCCACATAACAAAATGTATTCTGCATCAGGATGGAAAAAATCTGCACATGGAAAGAAAAGATTAGAGAGAACATCAGAGATGGCTAGTGATTTTGGGCACTTCAGTTTTTGAGTGCCCAATACTGAAGGAGCCTGATTTTCTTAAACTAATGAGCATCTACCTTTGAGAAATCAGGAACTGTTAAGGCATTTCAAGTGTGGAACCCAAAAACTGAGATACTTGAAAACTCTAGGAACTTTGGCTAAGGTTTTCAAATAGCCATTCTCTACTTTCTGTGTTTCAATAGTCCTTTCACTTGTGAAACATTAAACTTAGGTCCAGCTTTTAAAAGATATTTACGAATTGCTGCTGAGCTAAGTAAAGAACTGTACTGATTACAAAGGTAGCAGCTAGTCCCTGGACATTTACTGCTACTTATAAAGAGTTTATTACACAGAACCTACATCATAATTTACATAGATAAATAAAGCACTGTAAGATGCTTGGTACAAGATTCATATGTTCCCCTGTGTTTTTGTACATTAGCAATAACTTCACTAGGCAACTCTGCTAATAGCTCTCATATAGTGATCTCCATACATGAATGAGAAAATAACAGCACTCTTCTTCAATTCTTTATTAAATAAAGAAAAACCAGTTTTTCTTTATTACTGTAAGGGCCAAATTAAATAAATGAAGATGCAATTGTTATTTCTCTAGTGTTAAAAATGACTAGAAAGAATTTGATCTGTCAAAACTAGTTGTATGCTTTTGGTTTTGTACAAAATTGCTTATATGAAATATTAATGCTCACAATCAGTTTGAATTTAGCAGTGTAGATGAAGTATTACTGCTTAATTGGAAGCTTGGACTCTTGCTTTATTATGATGACCAGCTTGGTCCCTTTCTTTGTTATGATCCTTTTAGAGTTGGAGGCACTAATTCACAACCCTGAATTCATTCATTTACTGATTCAATTTTAGTCTCTTTGTATTTGTGGACATCTAAGAGGTGGTCATCATTAACTCAAATGTATTTGTTACTATGATTTGATGCTTGTTTTCTGAACTTCTTTTATTACCTTTATGGATTGACGGTGAACAGTTTGCTGTTGACAATCATATTAGATTGGAATTTTCCGAACACTACGCATTCGTCTAACTATGCTTCTACTGAAATAAATGGGAAGCTAACCCATGCCCTCAGTAGTAGTAGAGGGAGGCCAGTGATGACTGCTTTTCAAAATCCCACTCTCGGAATTAAAGCTGTGCTGATTAATTGTGAATGGACACAAGCATTCTTGTTCTGATTGAAGGAGTCAACTGATTACTTCTAATAAAGGGGAACTGTAACTGGGGGTTAAAATATCTTGAGAAGAGGTGCCAGATCAGATTCCCTTTGGGGGCCAGATCTTGGACATTCCTAGAAAAACTAGGAATGGGTTGGTGGAGATTTTAATTTTCTTTGTCAGTCACTCAAATTGAAAAGTATGTGGTCAGATATCTGCCTTTCTCTTTCAGTTGCCTCTCTGGCAGTGTTCTAGCCAGGCCTGCTGACAGGGCGATGGGGGTAAAGGGGGAAATTGCCTAGGGCCCAGAAGTTCAAAGGAGACAAAAGTTCCCAGCTACCACCAGCGCTACTGCAGCAGTGACGATGGCTAGAGCCCCAGTCCCCTTTGAATTGCTGCTGGAGTGCTGCTCCATGTGGCTCGGGGGGTGCACAGACTGTGGTCCAGGCAGTGCTAAAGGCTGACTGTTCAAGGCTCCCCCCCCCCCCCCCCCCCCACACCTTGCCCTAGAGTCCTTGTGGCTGTTGGCCCTGCTGGTTCTAGCAATGGGTTTTGCTTTCCTCCCATTAGGTAAGCCTGGGTCTCAAGTTCTCTTTCTTGAATGGTAACAGCTAATTTAAACTGCTTCAATTTGCGTGCATAGTTGGGGCTCATTTGTTTGCATTTGTGACTATTGAATTGAACATTGCCCAGTTTTATGAGATCCCTTTGTAACGCTTCACAGCCTGTTTGGATTTAACTATCCTGAGTAATTTTGTATCATCTGCAAATTTTGTCACCTCACTCTTTACCTTTTTTTACAGATCACTTATGAATATGTTGAATAGCACTGGTCCAGTATAGATCTTTGGGAGATACCACTGTTTAAATGTCTCCATTCTGAAAATTAACCATTTATTCCTAAATCTATTTTTGACTTCATAAAATCCACTAAAGATGGAAGTAATGTGAAGCATTACCTATTGGAAATGAAAGTGGGAAGCAAGTATAGTGCTTGACCTGTGGGACAGTGCCATATATTACAAGTTCATATGCTAAAAAGCTAGCGAAATTGCATTGTTTATTGAATAGTGTCCTCCATGAGACAGCATATATTGGTTAGCAGCAAAATAAAATGAAAAGTAAAATATGGATGTGGTGCTCACTGACACTGAGCTTCTTAGTTTTTAATGTAAATAACATGGACTATATAATCCTAACCAACAATCATAGTTGTTCAATAACTGCATAATGCTTTTATAGAAGATGCAACAACTGTAAATTAGTATATCAATGATGTATAATAGCATTAAGGTTTTTTCTCCTACAGAGTGCAATAGGACAAAAATGTACATAATGTACTATGTAATATCTTAATTAATCACAATACATCCCTGTGTGATTTCTGCTGCCTTCTGTCTATGGGCCCAATTCTGCTACCACAGTAGCCAGTGGAAATCTTCCCATTTGATTAGTGTCAGTCTGAGAGCATAATTAGTTCAAATACTGATATGATAAGTTGTTCAGTGCTCTGCTGAAGCAACTGTATACTACTGTTCTCATTAGGTACGTGTGTGTCCATGCGCACAATGCATTAACAATTATTAGGTTCTGCAATCAATCATGATCTGGTGTGAGAGAAACCACTGGAGCTGCTCAGAATTTTTCTGCAGAATGATTTTCTAGTGGATAGTGCTGTCTGTTTGAAATCAAAATTTTCCTCAGGAAAATTTAAATTTTGTCAGAAAGGTTTGATCCATCCATCAGGAATATTGAAATGAATCCTCCAGCTTTCCAGCTTCTTGCCAGGTCACCTGGAAGGCTGAGTGGGAAAGCAGGATCACATAACTTCCAGGCTACAGTGCAGCCCCCTGGCAAGCTCCAAAGCTCACCAGCCTAGCCATACTCCCTGTTCCATCAGCTGCTCAAAGAACTGTGTAGCTAGCTGCCTGGCTGGATGGCTCCTTTGGGTTCTGTGCTTTTCTGCTGGGTGCCTCCCCAGGCAACTGGCTCCTGAAGAGCCAGGCTGATGTCCTAACAGGTGGATAGTCAGCAAGCTCAAAAATTCCATGTTGGTTTTCCAAAAATAGTATTTTTCCTGAAGTTCCTTTGTACAAAAAAAATCATGTTTTTTACTTTTCCCCCTGATTCATCGGAAAAAAACCCAAAATTTTCATCAGGAAGGGGTTTCCATTTTCTGGACAGTTCTAGAAACCGTAATCTCAGGATTACCAAAGTGGTAAGCATTATAGGCAATCATTGGACTACTACAGGAGGGATATTATCCTTTTATAACACTCCTAGAAGCACAGCTTCCAGAAGTTTTTCTTTTAAAATGATGTAGCAGTTCAATCCAGCCCCACCGACTAAATCTCTGGGAGAGTCGATATTATGATTGAATTATGTGTGACTTGTTTTGACAGTCAAAATATCTGTGTTATGTTCACTTTATCTCCTTCCCCTAGTGCTCCTGGTATATATTGTTTAATGTCAAATCCAGCACTACGTCTGGTGGTCAACTATTTTAATTTCAGTGACGCTAGTCAGTTCAGACTGGGGGTCTATAATTTCCTTTTGTTATCATACTTATTTTAAGTAAAAGATATTACTCGGTTTCTGTTTTTATTGTGTATCCACTATTTGGCTTGTGCTGAAAATTATTTGGTTTTCAAACAATAGCTATTAATAGTAAATGTCTGCAATAATCAATACCTCCCTCCATCTAAAATCCACTGGAAAAATGCCCATAGTTAAAAGTTATAGAGATATGGATTTCAAAATCTTTTGCTGAAAATTCTGCCTAGCAAATGATAAATAATGAGGATAGTGAATTATGGTGATAATATCACTTTGATTTCATGCCACTGTTGTTCTACTACTACGCTTTATATAAATAACAATTAGTATCCAAGATCTTTTTTAAGTCACTTGAAAAATACAATCTGTTGTATAAATACTTTTTTAAAAGATGGTTTCTGCCCAATCTGTCTAGCTATAATCTGATTTTAATGAGGAATAACATCTTATTAAACTGGAGACATGATTATTTGCTTCTTCCCTTTATCATCCAAAGAGAGAGAGCACTAGGGTCAGTATATATGAGAGATGCATACCTCCCAGTAATTTCAGTAATCTGGTAATTATTTCTGTGCCTTCAATTATAACTTAATTGTGGCTACCCATTACAGTAAGAATGTGAGAATCTGCAAATAGAGTCATATTACTTTAACAAATACTTCCCTTTATTCTTCCTTCTCCATACAGTCATTCCCAGCACAGCACTGCAACACGTCCACCTACAATGAGCTTACAAAGAACCATTTCTCTGGAAGGGTAAGACTGTTCTCTGTCTCTTGAGCTGCTTAATATGCATGTGTATATGCTGCTCTGTATTTGTATTTGGGAAGGCAGTTCAAAGAACATACACTTACACTGAGAGTGGAAAGGGATGAGACTTGTAATGATCCTTAGTCCCTGTGGGAATTTGTCCCACACTCTGGGTTTGAATGAAGCTTTGTCTCCTGCACAGATGAGCGTTATCCTATCCTTATGCTAAAACCCATGTTTCTTCTTGACTGTCAAGTCTGATGGAGTAGGAAAAGGGATACCTGAGTAAAGTAGAAGGCCTTTATTTTCCTTTTATGATGAGGAAGCATGTAAATATGTCCCTGGAAATCACTATGTAAGCAGAATGCCATCCTCAGCTTGTTTAGAAAGGTTTAACGAGACAACAGCCCTGAATTATTTCCTCTTATGAATTGTTTTTCATATAGAAATGTCATGATGTAATCACGTTCTCAGTGAGAATGTAACGTGGAAGTTTTGACACTAATTTTATGTCATTTTTTTAGCCTAAAAAAGGAAGTCTGAAAATGTTGAAAAATGTAAATATTTTATATGGAGGCTAGAAAGTGATTAACCATGCAATACCTTTTGCCGGCTGAATGTATCAGATACCTTCTATCTATTTCTAGTAGTAAAAAATTCCAAAGCTTGGTGCATACAATGAGGTAGGCTTTTGAATCGACATTTAAACACCAGCATATAAGAGGCCTGATTATCTGAAGTGCTGGAGTCATACAGGGACTCAGCTCTTTGAAACACAAACTATCTGAACTCTCTTTTCAGCATCGTTGCACTCACCTTAAATAGATGCCCAAGAGAGAGCAGTGTGGTCTCCAAAAAATTAGGAGACCCTGTGGTTTCATTTATACCGACTCTTAGGAGCTTTCAGTCACCATATTATCTGATCACATGATAATTTATGCAAGACAAGGTCTAGTAAATGGACCAGATTTCTCACTCTTCTATGAAAGGCTCTGAAATGACAGAAGAAGGGTTTTTTCAGTGTTGATTGTAGCAAATAGAGATTTAAGAGCTGGACCAATTTTGCGACATCTGCCCAAATGTAGAGATGGAAAACGATAGTTCTGCGAGTTCTGAGCTGCCCCATGCACCTCAACTGGGTGTTATCTGTAAACTCCCTGTTCCAAGGTGCCCAGTCAATGCCAGTCCAGCAAAGAAATGTGTGTGACAATTGGGCAAGATTACATGGGTCCAGCCTACCCACTCATACTGTGCTGGGAGCACCTTAGTTCAATAACCCTGACTCTGTGAAGTAGAGGGAGAGGGAACCCTGCTACCACTCAAAAGGTAGCAAATTGCAAAATCCTCTGTACCAGCCATACAAAAAGCTTACAAATATTGTATATGATTCATTAACACCAGAAAACTGCAATTGATGGGTGGGTCACCAGCTGTTTGGAAGGTAGAAGAATCATGTGGCACGTAATTATTACTATTGAATGTATAGAAATTCATGTTTCATTTTACGTGGAAAAGTGAGCCTCAAGCAGCATTTCCATTAGTTTATTACACTGCTGAGCAAATATAAGTAATCAGCTCAGCTCTTAACATTTCATTATTGCAAAGCTCCCGTTACTGTAATGCTTTTGTGAAAGCCATAGTTCCAGTGTATGTATAATTAGTACTGTTTCATTCGAGAGCAAAACACAGCTATGTTTTCTTTTACATAGATTTGTACATGTGGATTTCCAGCCTGGATTCACTTTTAAAGGCACAGTTATTTAAGAGATTCACAATATTGCTTTTGAAAGAAGCTTTGTTTATGGGTGTTTCACCCACAAGGCTTTCTACCAAGCACTTGGATATCTCGCCAGCACACCAGTTTCTGTAATTGATGTATAATTGTATAGTTATTAAAGTGAGAGAATGAATGGTGTCTGTGAGGAAAGGCTTGACTGGAGAGGAAAATAGAAGAGGAATTTGAGTCAACTTGCCATTAATTCCTTTCCCCATTAGTCAATCATTATACAATAATTTAACCTTCTAAAACAATAGATAAAAGAATTCAGCTGTAAATGCCAATGTTCAGCATTGTCAAGGCCGTAATCAGGCAATTATCTTTTCTACATATGTGGCTGACATTTGTCCTCACCAGAACTTTTTGGTGAAAAATCAAAACATGAACAGTTTGGGTTGAAAACTGAAAATTTTCAATTTGGAAATGCTGACATAGTGTCTCTCATGCGTGTTGTAGTTTGGGTGTCACAAGCCCCTTTTCCTCTATAGGCTACATCGTCCATGATACATCATAGTTCCTCCTCTTGCAGAGCTTCCACAGTATATCCCAGGAATTCTATAGCTCTGGTGCATCATTGGACAGGTAGGAAGTCTGTGTGGGGAGCACAGTCCATGTAGGACAATGGAAGCATAAGGCACCTCCATAAGGCACCCCAGGCATTACTATGGAAGTATTTCTTAATAAAAAATGTCAGTTTTCACACAAACATTTTTTTGAGTTTGAGCCAAAAATAGAAATTGTTTTTAATTATTTTAGATGATCTGGGTTTTTTTTAAGTAAGATAGAATTTCCTTGTGTGGAAAGCAGACACTTTTTTGCACAAAATATTGTTTAGTTGAAATCTCAAATTTCTATTAAAATGTTTGATGGAAATTTTTTGTCCAGTACTAGTACTAAGCTTAACACAACTAAGCATTTCAAAAATATTCAATAAAATGTAACTGAAAGATTTTTTTAAAAGTGTTTGAGGCAAGACTAAACATAAGAAATTTAATTCCAAGCAGGATACATTTTACAGAAAATTCTGCTTTTAAAAAGTGGCTTGTTGCTTAATGTCCACTCGACAGCCCTCCAGGATTGGCCTAGAGTCTCCAGAAATTAAAGATGAATCTGTTATTACAGAGACCTGATTATCTGAAGTGCTGGAGTCATACAGGGACTCAGCTCTTTGAAACACAAACTATCTGAACTCTCTTTTCAGCATCGTTGCACTCACCTTAAATAGATGCCCAAGAGAGAGCAGTGTGGTCTCCAAAAAATTAGGAGACCCTGTGGTTTCATTTATACCGACTCTTAGGAGCTTTCAGTCACCATATTATCTGATCACATGATAATTTATGCAAGACAAGGTCTAGTAAATGGACCAGATTTCTCACTCTTCTATGAAAGGCTCTGAAATGACAGAAGAAGTGTTTTTTCAGTGTTGATTGTAGCAAATAGAGATTTAAGAGCTGGACCAATTTTGCGACATCTGCCCAAATGTTATCTGTTAAAACACTTTTTGTGAATGTTTAAAGAACTGTAAATTAACTAACTAATCTTTTCAACACTCCTGAGAGGCAGGTAGATAACAACTGTTACTAATGTTAGAAGTTACTTATGTTCATATCAGTACATATATCTTTCCTCTTTTTTTTTATCTCTGGCTTTTAATCCATACTTGCTATGAACCGATTTACCTACGATAAGTAAATTTGTGGGGACTCTCAGATTTTTAACATCATTGTGTTTGCTATCATAAAAGACTAATATTATCTTTGAAATATGATACGTGCAAATGTTTTAGAAAGAAGTATGATTTTTCAAATTGGTGAGGACTCTTTAATAAAAGAAGCAAATGGAAAAAATAAAAGAGTTTATGTGATATTTTATTTTACTCTTAATACCAAAAACCATGATTTACTTGGTAAAAGTAAAAAATTGTTTTGTTATGCAGGGTACAATTTTAAAAGGAACCATTGGGATTTAAGCTCCTAAATCATTCAGACACTTTTGAAAATTTTACCAGTGGCAATTTATTATTTATTTATTTTAAAATATATAATACCTACCTCTTATTTAGCCTTTCAAATTTGTACAATGCTTTACAGAACATAGATATGACACATCCCTTGTTACAAAGACCTAATCTGTCTTTTAGGCTGTAAAAATATGTACATTTGTAACTCGATAGAAGCAATGCTTTGAATCATTTATGATGTTTACAATTATTTGTTTGGTTGTTCCTCCACATCATGATTTCTGTCTATCTTGTGCCCCTTTGTTTCCTCCCTCTAGGTACATCTAGACTTCACCTCTCTGTTGACAGAGAGATGTAGATTAGGCACGTCGAAATTGCTAATGAAGCACGGATTTAAATATCCTGCACTTCATTAACATAAACATGGCCACTGCTTTTTTTCGAAACGGAGCTTGCTTTTTCAAAAAAATCCCAGCAGTGTAGGTGCAGATCTGTCGAAAAATAAACCCTTTTTCAACAGATCCTGTAAACCTCACTTTTTGAAAAAGGGTTTATTAGCAATTTTGACGTGCCTAATCTACATCTCTGTTGACAGCGAGGTGTAGTCTAGACACAGCCTCTGTGTCTGCTCCTTTCGTTTTGTCTTTTTCCTTCTTTTTCCCTTCACTTTTCTTCCCTGTCTGTTTTATGCTCACTTCTTTATCCAGTTCTCTTTTCAGTCCTTCATTTCCTCTTTCCTGGTCTCTCTTACTCTTATTTTTTGCTTCCTTCTCTGATTGTTTCTCTTCATTTTCCATGCCTAATTCTTAGTGGTGTCTCTGCTGTTCTCCTCTAGCCATGGTTGCCAACTTTCTAATTGCACAAAACCAGTCACCCCTGCTTCCCTGAGGTTCCACCCCTTCTGTGAGGCACCACCCCCTGTTGCTTTCCATGTCCCTCCCCCACTCACTTTTATGGGCTGGGACAATGGTTGTGGTGCTAGGAGTTAGGGGTCCAGTTAGAGGTGTGGGTTCCAAGTAGAGCCAGAAATAAGGGGTTTAGAGTGCAGGTTGGGGTAGGGGTAGGAGTGCAAGGTCCTGGCAGCACTTATCACAGCGCCCAGAAACTGGTCACCTGATCCCTGAGGCCACTTGGCGCATGGGCAGCCCTGGAAGCTCTGGGCACATGCCCCCCACCCATAGGTTCCACCACTAGTTGCAATTCCTGCAGCACTCAGGGAGGGGGCAGCATACCCGCCATGTAGCTGAGGGCCACCAGGACCTGGTGGCC